TCCATTTCTTGCCATTTTCTCATTGTTGATCCGTAATCCTACCGGACAATTGTTCTCAACTAACACTCTTTTAAGCCTTTCCAACTCCTGTTCCTCATCTTTCACGTCCGCTAGACGTAAACTTTTCATTATCATTAATTTCATTGCGCCTACCTACCTTAACACTTTAAGTATGATTCTAGAAGATATTAAGAGGGAAACCGGCATTTGTCGGTTTGCTATTCACATCCCTACTCAGTTTGCTCCCTTCTTTAATCACCAAGACATCTAAAAAGGTCAACTTACCGTCCTTTTCCAACTCCGTAGTGAATTGAGCAAAGCAAGTCTTGCAAACATTCCAGATCGCAAAGTAATCATCCAAGCAGCTGACCGATAGTTTCGGAAACAGAAGTGACTGTTGAGCAAGCCCAACTTACAATTGAGCCATTAAAGATGAAATATGTACTATTTATTAATAAGTCGTTCAATCCTATCTCCTGATTTAATCTCTGGATGTAGATCTGGGGTTAATCCTAAGGCGTGTATGGACACACTTTCCGGTATATTCGTGCACTTGGAAACAGCATCAAACCGTACAAGCCATGTCACAATTGACTGTGTGTCTATCTTCTTTTGCGACATACAATCTCTGGCTGTTGGTGCAATGTTGATGCCAAGGCATGCATGAACCCACTTTCCGGTAGATTAGTAGGCATCAATGCTACCACAAAACAAGTCCTGCTCATCTATCAACTTGATATGTGCATTGAAAATGGCCCAAAACCGGATATTCCCTTCATTTGACAACAAAGCAATCATAATGTTGTATGCATTACACCGCCCTAATTGTTCACAATCATCCCAAGTGGGACCCACTCTTTGTGGATTTGGCCAGACCACATGCATTTGGCCGTTGCGCCCATCAGCCTTTTCGTGTGTTTTCATGCTCCGCTACTCTGACGAATGGGCCGATCTGACACAAGGCCGACTGTATGAAGGTATGAACACCGACCCATTTTACCGCGGCCCGATTTGGCCAAACAGTCCCATTCCCCTCAGAATGGGGCATGGCCTGAGAAGGTGGTAATGCTTTTTTGATGAGCTATCTTTTATGGGCTTGCCCATCACTTTTTGGACAGAAGAGATTTCAGTCTCTCTGTCAGTTCCCAAAACATTCTCGTCCCCTACTTTTATTCCCCGTAAAATTGATGCTACTTTCACTCAGACCCAAAGCATAATTGCCATACAGCAATTAGCGTTTCTTATTCACATTTTTCCTATCCTCCAGCTCCATACTTTTCATGTTAAAATGTCAAACTGTGTTCCGTATCTTTGATTAGGGAGAGAGAGGTAGATAGAGAGAGAGAATGAGTTCAGAATAAAACTAACATTTACTGTTTAGCTAAGAATATATCCAAAGCCACCTGCAAAAGGTAAGAGTATATTATTTTTCGGTAATTCCATCGTCTGACAAAAAATATGGCATCAACTTAGTTGGAGTGGCTTGAAATTAAACTGATCAACTTTTTGCTCATTTTCCATACCTTCCCTCTTGTGAATATATTTGCCAGACAGGAGCGAACTGGTTGAATTTTCTTTCGCTCGAAAAGCGAAGTAGACATGAGAATGTCTCCCAAATGGGACGCTATCTGCCGGGCGAAATGGCAGGTAGATACTCGTTCAGTTGGTTTCGACATCGGAACCGACCAAGTCCGTCTCGACGACTTTGTTGGCGGACAACGTCGGAGCTAACCGAAGATCACATTGAGCCCGATTGAATGGTTCGTCAACTCACGACACGGTAGATTCATACAAATCACAATCGCACCAAATGAAAGTAGACTTAGCAAGGGTGGAAAGAGGAAGATGTGGAAAACTTTCTTCGTGTATGCATTCCTTGACTTGTTTCGATTGCTTTAATCGGAACATCAACCGAGCGTTTCTACCCACTTGGAAAAGCCCCATTCGAAAATGTGTAGAACGGGTACCAGATAAAGTATTGAGCCATGACCAACTCGATTTCAGACGGTGATGCTTGTCGAAACATACTCACTCCTAAAATGGCAAAAGTAGACTCCTTACGTTATCGGACATCGCTTTGTGGCTTTCCCAATGTGGCTTTTTAATGTGAGCAGGAGTGTGTTTCATCAGATGGTACCCGAAAATGATTGCTTGCCCCAGTACCCTTCCTACAATGAGTGTGATTTAGGCAAGACCTGGTCTGGCCTCCTCTTCACCAGCCGTCGATTGGCTTTGCTGGAACATTCTTGTTGAGGCTGTTTCCGAAGCAATCTCACTCGATTCCGGTGAAAAGGTGCTAAGCTTTCGAACGTCGTATGGCGGACATCATCAGAGCAGGGACCAGCAAAACCGGTGCTTGTGTGGCTGATTAATGATGCACCACCACTTTACTTTCACAAACCGGTTTTTACTCGTCTCGTCTGTACTGACGAAGTAGACAATGCCAAAGGCGAATTTCATAATCCGCGCCTAGAAACATGATAAAGGCAACAAGACATGGCTTGGCTAGTTGAAATAAAAATGTGATATTATATAAAGCTATATTATAAAAATATATTACATAATATATGATATATATATATATATATAAATTAATTCAATATTTTAATAGATTTAATAATATTTATTATTAAATCTATACTTTGTTATATATATATATATATATACGGAGCACCATCTTGCTCCGCGAGTGTGCACGAGTAAAACACACATTTTAGTAGAACACACATTTTAGTAAAACACACATTTTAGTAAAACACACATTTTAGTAAGACACACCTTTTAGTAAAACACACATTTCAGTCGGCCCAGGTTGCTGAAGGTGATGAAGGAGGAATCGTGGCATTTCGCTTCGGCTTGCTTCGCAAGCATCATTCTCATCCAGGCTCGACGGAAGTGCACTTTCGTTCCACCTTGTCCGGGTGGCATCAGCACCCGCGAGGGGAGTCGAACTTGACTTGCGGCATGGCAAGATACAGTTTCGACATGTCGTCCGCCAATCGACTAAGGTATCATCGTCACAACAAAATTGAAGCTAACGAGTCAAGAAAACTCACCGGCAAATCCCTAAAAAGTGGTACACATACTCTATATCTGACCTCTTTGATCGAGTACAAAGTGACTTGGTAGAGTAGATGTACCACATTTTAGGGAATGCAGGTGAGTTTTCTTGACTCGTTTGCTTGAATTCGGCTGTGACGATGATACCCTCCTTGCTCTGATGATGTTCGTCACAGAAAGGAAGAAAGCTTTCACCTTTTCACCGGAATCGAAGCAGATTGCCTCGGAAACAGCGTCGCCATAAATGTTCCAGTAGAGCCAATCGACAGCTGGTGGAACCGACCTTCCAATCTCTTCACCAACAAACACTTTCACTCGAAATAAAAGTCAGCTCAACAATAAATGCATGTTTGCCTCGACGGCAATTTCACTAAACACGCAAGTGGGCATCAATGACATCCCAAAGGCTATTCATCTGATTGTGTGAAACTTCAACCCCCACCATCTTCCAATAGTCCCGAAATCCCACTCGAAACGAAAACAGCCACTTTGCCTTGCCATCAGTTCTGCTGAAGAGGACTGCTTCTTTAAAGCAGCCTAGCCTCCAACCTGTTTGCACGATCTCGCCTGAAGCCGTTCTCTGTCTGTCTGTCTGTATGTATGAATGAATGTATGTATGTATGTATGTATGTATGTATGTATGTATGTATGTATGTATTTATGTAT